ATCAGAATTTGTCACCCCAAAATATGCCTCTTGGGCAGAAGGATTATTTTGAGCTGATTTGTTTTTAAGAAACAGACACAGGAGATCTCTGAAACCTATGTAGAAGTCACCCTTTGTTAGAGACATTTACATTTACAAGGAAATCTCCATTTGTAAGGGTGACTTCCTCTCAGTAGCAAGAAGTGGAGGATTACCAAACCTCTGGGAACTGTCATTACAGGATAAGGCAAGGACTTAGATCTGCATAACAATGACCTTGTTTACTGTGATTTTCCTGATATCCGCCCCAAATGGCTTCCCACCCCTCATCTTCTTTTGTCTTTAGTTGAAGATGGTATTTAAGGTGATGGCTTGAGTCATTTCGGGTAATTACTCAGTTTTCCTGGGTGGCTCCCATGTAAACACTTTACTAAACTTCTGTTTTTCTCATGTTAATCTGTTATATTATGGGGGTGGGGTCGCAGTCAAGAACCTAGAAAAATAGGGGGAAAATCATTTTTCCTCCTCGACAAAGGCACAGTTTATATATATATATATATATATATATATATATATATATATATATATATATATATATATATGTTGTTGTTTCAATCTAGTTGTGGAGGGCACAGCTCAGTGGCCCATGTGGGGATCGGACCAGCAACCTTGGTGATATGAGCACTGCTCCCTGCGCTCTAACCACCGTCCCCACGTTGGTATACAAAGACCTACATGATCTGGTTCCTCTGCTACTTAACAGCCTTGTCTCTTGCTACTCTGGTGTTCCCTCACTCAGTTTCAGCCATACTGTATGGCCTCTTGCTGTTCTTAGAACATGGCAGACAGCAGATATACTTCAGTCTTTCTGGCATGCTCCTCCCCCAGGTATCCACAGGGCTTACTCCCTCCACTCTCTTTGCTTCAATGTCACCTTAGTGAGGCCAAATCAGATCAACACTTTTAATTTTCCACCCTTCCAAACCTGTACTCCTGACCTATCTCCTTAGTATGCTATTTCTTTCATAGCACTTTGCATCTTCAACCATACTTTATAATTTATTTGGTTTATTTTCTATCCCCTCTCACTAAAATGTTAGGTCTAGGTAGGCAGAGACTTTTTTGTTTTTGTTCACTGAAGTATTTATTTCCAGCCCCTAAAACTAATGGCTTGTAATAGGCACTGAATAAATATTTGCTAAATGAATGAATGGATGGACGGTCCTCATGAAAAGATTATAAAAGCACCTACCCATTTTTCTTCTAGTACTCCAGTGCTTCAATGGTTCTAACTTTTACATGTAAATCTTTGAGCTGGAATTCCTTTTTGGAGTAAAAAGTGTGGTATGAATCCAGATTTTTTTCCCCTTCCAGTGGCTCTCGAATTACCTTGACATAATTTATTGAAAAAGCCATCATTCCCCACCCCCATTTGAAATCTTCCTTAAGGCATAGTTAGGTTACTTTGGATAGAGTATTAAGTTTGGTTAAAATACATAATTTCCTAAATTATTGGGAAAGATACAGTAGAATTATTCCTTCATTCATTCAGCCACTTCCTATATAGATATCAGAAACATATGCTTGTTAAAAAGTTTTTATTCCTTGCTTGTTGTAGCGAAGTAGGCTATCTTCTGGACATGGCTACTTGAAGTGGTTTGGAAAGTTTCCCAGTCTTTAATCACATAAAATTCTTTCCTCCATTCCTCCTTCTTGCTTCATACCAGATAACAGACATTTTTAGAACATGTGGCAGGATATCTTTTTGTAGTTTGGAAAACAGGCATAACTGGATGCAGAGTGACCTTACATCTGCCTTCACGTAAAAATGCAAGGCTGACAGAAGAGTTTCAATTTACTTATTTCAGAGTGATCCCTACGTGATGACTAAAGATTATTTCTTAATCATTTAACTGGTTGAAGCTTTTGAAACAATGAATTTTTTTTGTTTTGTTGTTTTTTGTTTTATTACAAAAAAATGTGAGCCCTTTGCAGAGAAATTAGGATTAAAGACAAGACCACCAGTAATCAATATTTAATTTACTATGAACCCATATCATACGAAGTATCATGGAGGGTAAAAAGAGCTTACAAGTCATTTAGCCAACATTTATTAAGCACTGATTATACTCCAAGAATACCTAGTGGCTTAGTAATATTGCTTGACTCAGTCTATCAGTCCATCATTGAGATGGTATCTGCAGATAACCAATGTGTCAAGTGGAAAAATTATAGTGAAGAGAAAATAGAACTATATTTAATGATAACCCAAAGAAAGAAGTACAGAGAAAAATCTAGAAGATCCAGAAGGAAGAGGGATGGAGCTCAGAGACTCATTTTAGGCACTGTGAGACCTGCTTATTTGACTGCTGGTTGGCCAGTCCCTTACACTCAGCAGACCCATGTCCGCTCTCCTGGAGCACATCAGCTATACCCTGCTTCCTGCCCTCCCTCCCCCAAAACAGTCACCAGACTGTAGCCACCATAATCTCTTTAAGATAAAATCTGATTAACTTGCTCCACCTCTTAAAAAGGCTCCTCTCTCCGTTGCTGTGATCTAATCAGTTGGCCCTCTGCAACTTCTTCCTTCGTCCTCTCTGTCCTGACTCTGCTATAGCCACAATGATCCCCTCCTCCAATTTCCTCAACAAGCCATGACTGCTCCCTTGCTCTTCTGGTCCTTGGAAGCGCTGTCCCCTAGTCTAGAGCACTCTTCTCCTCCTTCCCCCACATTCCTGGGCACACTAACTGCAAAGACCAGAGTGATCTGGTCTCCAGGGAGGCACATTTTCTCCTTGAGACCAAGGGAGCAGGGACATCTATTGTAGAGTCAGTCCTGTTCTGCCCTAGACTGGGGAAGGCCTGGCTTAGACTCTGAGTTTAGGGAAGGTCCTGTAGTCCTTGGGTCTGGATCTGAGACAAAGAGAGTGCCAGCCAGCCGAGGGGGAGGGACTTCTGGTTCTGCCTGGGGCTGTAGTTTCTCCTGGCTGAGCCTGGCATTTAAGTAAGTGGTTTTTGCTAACCTGGCCAATTTCCAACTATCACCAGAGCCAATCTTTACATAACTCATTCTGAAGTCAAGACTTTTGATTTACTTGTCATTATTTGGCTGGGAGAAAAACGAAACAAGAACAAATATTCTTGCCTTACTAAGTACTATTCCCTCCTTTGATGTTAATAATTCAGAGCTGGTTCCAAAGCCCCTTGGGGCTTTTATCCATGACCTGAGCATCATTTACTACCATCTGCCTGGCATATAGCATAATTCACCATGGACAGAGTAATTGTAACTGAGAAGAAGAAAAATAACAATTGTCCATACATTCTCCATACATTCTACCCTCCCAAGATAAACGGGTAACACTTTAGCTTTATTTCCTTCTGGTTTCTCTCTCTCTCTCTCTATATATATATATATATATATATATATATATATATATATATATATATGCATTCTCTTTTGGTGGTCTCATTCATCCTGGAGGGTTTTACTACCATTTCTAAATCAACAATTTAGCCCTGATCTCTGCTCTGAGCATCAGATTTCCCTACCCCCAACATCCCAAACTCACTCCTCAGCAACCATTTTGGTAAATGGCCATCACCTACTATTGCCAGATATTTAGAGTCATTCATAATGACTTCCCATTTCCTCAATTGGTCCACCCCCATCCTTTTCCATCTGATTCATTAGCAAATCCTGTCCATGTTACCTGCCATGTGCACCTAGCAATTGTTCCTGCCTTCCCATGCCCACTGCCACAACTGTGATTCAAGTCACCATCCTCTCTCCTGATCTGTTTGCACAGCCCCCATTGGTGTCCCTTCTTCCACACTTAACTCCTGAAATCTTTTAGTTGGTTTGGAGGTTCTGCTTCCCTTGGTTCCCTCATTTTATGCCCCTTGAATTCCTTTCATCCCGGATCGCTTTCTGTCCCTTGATAACATGCAAGCTCTTTACCCCACTTTGTATTTAGTGCTCTCTCCTTATCCTGAAAAGGTCTACCCCCAGCTTTCCCATGGCTGGTTTCTTCCCTCCCTTCAGACCTGATTTCCAAAGTCGTCTCTTCAGACAGATGTCTAAATCAAATTTTGTCTCCCAAATATTGTCCATCAAAGCACCTAGTTTACTTCCTCCCTGGCACTAATCACAACATGCAATTGTTTTATTTAATTGTATTTATTTTTTCTTTGCTTTTAAAGAAATAAGAACAATTTAAAAAATTTGTAATCACATAGGAGTGGCAGATAAAATACAGAATGCTCGGTTATGTTTTAATTTCAGATAAACAATGAATAAGTTTTTTTTTTGTTTTTTTGTGTGTGATATTGGGGAATGCTTACACTGAAAAAATTATCTGGACTTCAAACTTAACCGGGTACCCTGTATTTTTTATTTGCTAAATTTGGCAGGCTTACCCATGAAGCGCCTTGCCCTTGTCTTGCTTGCTCTGGGGTTGTATACTCAACGACCAAGCCCGGGCAGAGCCTGCCATTTAGGTGTTCAGTAATTGTTCTATATGAAGGAACTGTCTGACGAGTGATACGGTTTTTTTCTCCGCCTGACATCTATTTATCAGAATGTTACCCATGCACTAAAAATTCTTGTTGAAGGTATTTTGGGAAAATATATTTTAGTATCGAAACTTCTTTGTTTTCCATTTTCTACAAAAGTGGCATAATAGTACTATCTACCCTTATCACGCTATTTTGAGAATTAAGTGAGTTAAAGGGTGTCAAGTTGAGCACCGTGCTCGGCTCACTTGAACACGCAATACATTTCAGTTCTTTATTAAAGGCAGACCGTGAACCATTTTAGCGGCAAGCAAAAACGCGGGTTTGTAGAGCACAGATGGGGGCTGGGAAAGCGGTTAGAAACCGGCGCCGGCCAGAAAGCTGAGGGCTCGGAAAGGAGGAGGAGTGAAAAGTGAGTGACAGAGAAGGCAGCCAGTGGAGAGGCTGGGAACTGGTCCCCCCTCCCTTTGCGTTTCAAATTCTAAGCTCAGTTTCCATCCGGGTCCTGCAGCCTCGTTCCCGGGCAGTATAAAGTTTGCTGTCTCCTTTGTTCGCCCTCGTTGCGCAGTAGTGCTAGCGGCGTGTCTCTTCCGTCTTTCGTGCGCGCGGCCCTCCCTCGTGCTGAGCTGCTGAGAAGCCCCTGCCCGCGAGCTCGTTGGAGCTTGAAACTGTCTTCACCTCTCCGGTAAGTGTACCCTTCCCTTAGCCCGTTTTTCGGATACTATTGCCACTTTAGAATTTGGGATTATCTCCCTGGAGATGGGGGCGGCGGGCGCCATTTTAAGAACCCAAAGGTGCCGACCTATTTAGATAAAGCAGAGAGTGTCGGAGGGAAACAAATGGAGGGGGCCGTTGTGTTGTATGTCTCTCAAAAGTTTGGCTGTTGCCTGCGGGGGTGGTGACGGAGGCCGGGGCTGGAGCGGGATGAGGAGAGACCGCGCCACCGCGGTACCTGCATTGGGCTGGCGCTACGGATGGGCACGTGCGTTTGCACGCGGGGTCCTTGGTAATTGGCGGCTTTGGACAGGAAGCCCTTTGAATTTCTTTTCTAAGCCCCTGCTGATGGTAAAAGTTACTCCCGTGGCGGTGTCGGCTGTTCTGGGCTGAGTCCAAGTGTCGCCATTTTGTGTTTTCCACGCGGTTTTTAATGACGTTTTAATTGAGTTCTGCTGCAGTCGTAGAGCGTTGAGCGTTACGGTGCGCGTTTTTCACGTCCCGTTATTTAATATGAAGTGATATTAATACTTAAAAAAAAACATGGCCTTTTCGACGGGGCAGGGGCTGGCGAAGAAGGGGAGGCATAAGTTGGCACAAACTTTAAATTTCTTAGATTTACTAGGGAATCCTAATTAGGAAAGGCTTGGTGTTAAGGACCTGTGTCTGGCCTGTGACCTTGAATGAGTCCATAGCTTCTAAAAACCTTTAGGGTAATTAGGATGTAATTGTATATTTAAAAGGCTACAAATCTAGGATTAAAACGAAAACTTTTTCAAATGTTGAGTAGCCTTTACTTGATTAATACTGCTAAGATAATGGGTTTGGGTAAAGGCTATAGGTTAAGTTGGACATTTTAACTAGTTTGATGTAGATTGTGCTATGGCTTAACGACTTAATTTGGGTTTCCTGCTGAGGTTTACGAAAGGTTGCTTTTGGTGTCCTTCGTTTTTAAGGAATAATGGTTTCAGTAGAACAAGAAAAATGCACCCCGTTAAATATGTGTGACCAATCAAGTTGAACTTTTCCCAGGGAGCTAATACTGTATATTTTAACAGACTTTCAACGGGGGAAAAATGGTTGAAGCAGATCGCCCAGGAAAGCTCTTCATTGGTGGCCTCAATACAGAAACAAATGAGAAAGCCCTTGAAGCAGTATTTGGCAAATATGGGCGAATAGTGGAAGGTGAGTGTATCTGAAAGTATATGCAGGGCTCTCTTGTAATTAAAATGTAAGCTATGATGAGTTTAATTGCATTGATCATCTGAAATGATAATGTATTTTGTCCTCTAAGAAGTTCTGAGCTTTCTTTCTAAAGATTTACTTTAGTTCTTTCATTCGAATTAGAGTAACACTTTTCCCCCTGAAAACTGCTTTTTAGTACTCTTAATGAAAGACCGGGAAACCAACAAATCAAGAGGATTTGCTTTTGTCACCTTTGAAAGCCCAGCAGATGCTAAAGATGCAGCCAGAGACATGAATGGAAAGGTGAGATTGCACAATGATATGGTGTTTACTAGTGCATAAAATAGCACGATGTCTGGTCTAGGGAAGCTGTGGAATTTTATTGTTTTGAGCGTATACCTTTCCAGGACCCTGTGATCATGGCCCTTTGTAATTTTATAGCCAAATTTTCTAGCACAATTCCAGATTATATACTTTTAAGAGTCAATCCAGAATATTATGGGATGTTTTATTTTATCTGGGATCCATAAACTGATTTAATAACTTGTATTTTTAGTTTTTTTGATGAGTTGATAACTGGTCTTATTTTAAATATTACCAACCAGCAGTGCAGTCGATCCACCTTATGTTTGAATCAAATCATTCTTAAAAAACTAAGCATTTCACATAAATGGAGAGTAATAATAATAAAAAGTAATAGTATTTGTCGTGTTTTTTTTTACATTGGTGAGCAACATTTATAACTTTTGAAGGACATCAGTGTCAGTGGATCTTCGAGTTCTTTTTAAATGTTGATGTAATTAACCTTTATAAATATTATTTAGTCCTTAGATGGAAAAGCCATCAAGGTAGAACAAGCCACTAAGCCATCATTTGAAAGTGGTAGACGTGGACCGCCTCCACCTCCAAGAAGCAGAGGCCCTCCAAGAGGCCTTAGAGGTGGAAGAGGAGGAAGTGGAGGAACCAGGGGACCTCCCTCACGTGGAGGGCATATGGGTAATGACTGGGTTTACCTTAGGCTTGGTTATATAAGTTAGGAACTACAAACCCACACCATTCTGTGCTTTGATTAACTTTGTTGAATGGCCTCAGCTTTTGAAATTGAGAACATTGGTTAATCTACCAAAGTGATAATGACTTAAAAGGAAAACATAAAAGGCATGCTAAGTTAAATCACATAATAGTGTTTTTAAATGGACAATAGACTGTTCCTTATCCAGGTAGTTCACTCTAGGCAAAAACACATGCAGAAAATTTTTTATAGGCATAAGTGTTTGAGCATATGAAAATGAAACAATCAGTATTTTTCTTTGAAGTAACTTTAAGACTACCCTTCAGTTTTATTTTACAAGTCTAGAGACTTTCTTGTGCTTGGTCTTGTATAAGTAAGGACTGCTAAAGCAAGATTCTTCAACTAAACAGAAATGGTCATATTCTTGATCAAGCAAAGAACTTTTGTAGCCTTTTCTTGATTTCTTGTATTAACGTGTTTTTCTTGTTTGTCCTAATGTAGATGATGGTGGTTACTCCATGAATTTTAACATGAGTTCTTCCAGGGGACCACTTCCAGTTAAAAGAGGACCACCACCACGAAGTGGGGGTCCTCCCCCTAAAAGATCTGCTCCTTCAGGACCAGTTCGCAGCAGCAGTGGAATGGGAGGAAGAGGTAAATGTTCCACTTACAACAATCTATTCTACCACCATAACACAAGATTGAGAAGTGAATCCTAAAAATGGCTTAACACTGACTTAAGGACTCCAGGTGATCTAGGTACATGCAATTACTGAGCACTAAGAAGAATTTAGATATGAATAGGAAGTTTTAGAGAATAAAAGACCTTGATTTAGTTCCATAATTTTGTATTTCATTGAATCACTATTCATTGCCTGACTCTAAATTCACATTTTAACTTCTCACTTTGGGTATATTTTAAAAATGATTGTTTTCCTTAAGCTCCCGTATCACGTGGAAGAGATAGTTATGGAGGCCCACCTCGAAGGGAACCCTTGCCTTCTCGTAGAGATGTTTATTTGTCCCCAAGAGACGATGGATATTCTACTAAAGACAGGTGAGAGAGAAATGTAGTAGCTTTTGTCTCATTAATACTTAGGATTGAAGAGGAGAGGTTATCAAAAGTGTAAACCAAGTTACTTTTGTTTTTGTAGCTATTCAAGCAGAGATTACCCAAGTTCTCGTGATACAAGAGATTATGCACCACCACCAAGAGATTATACTTACCGTGATTATGGTCATTCCAGTTCACGCGATGACTATCCTTCAAGAGGCTATAGGTAAATGACTTTGCTGCCACAGCTTGCTGTAACAGTTGATGCCCTGGGGCTTATAATAAGTTTTTCTCTTTAATTTAGTGATAGAGATGGCTATGGTCGTGATCGTGACTATTCAGATCATCCAAGTGGAGGTTCCTACAGGGATTCATATGACAGTTATGGTAAGATATTGGCCTGAGGGTCTTTGAATATCCGCAGCTTGAGTTTTTAGGTTCATGAGCCAGTTTATTAGGCTGTGTGGTGCTTGCTTTTAAAGGGATGTTTGCTTGCTTTTGAGGGGGTAACTATGAGCTGGGCTTTTCCTAGTTTTGTGAGGGGCTTTTGTTGTTTTCTAAGTTTTTTTTTTTTGAGGCTGTTTGCTTGCTTTGGAGGGGATTTTGCTTGCTTAAATTGGCAGCCTTATGTGTTTTCCCCCAACAGTGAAAATACAATTTAAAAAATTTTATTAACAACATCAAATGTTTACCATTCCAATATGAAGGAAAGTCTACAGTTCAAAATTGCAACTTATCACTGGAAAGTGGCTGAGTGTCTACTATAAAATAACAAGCTGTCTGGAATATCCTCTTGAAATACACACCGTCTTCAGTCTTTTCAAACAAACATTAAAACCCATCCATTTCCATATCTCAGCAGATGAGCAAATCCCTGTTAATGGCCAGCAATGGCAGAGTTTAAAACCTCCCAGTTGAGAAAGTAAACGTTTAATACAAGAATTCTGTAAATTCAGATTTAAATGTTGTATATATACAATTTATAGTGTTGCCATATTACCTGACCATTGACCCTGCAGGTAACTCACGTAGTGCTCCACCTACACGAGGGCCCCCGCCATCTTATGGTGGAAGCAGTCGCTATGATGATTACAGCAGCTCACGTGACGGATATGGTGGAAGTCGAGACAGTTACTCAAGCAGCCGAAGTGATCTCTACTCAAGTGGTCGTGATCGGGTTGGCAGACAAGAAAGAGGGCTTCCCCCTTCTATGGAGAGGGGGGGATACCCTCCTCCACGTGATTCCTACAGCAGTTCAAGCCGCGGAGCACCAAGGGGTGGTGGCCGTGGAGGAAGCCGATCTGATAGAGGGGGAGGCAGAAGCAGATATTAAAAACAAAACTTTGGACCAAAATCCCTGTTCAAAGAAACAAACAAAAAGGAACCTATTCTGTCATAACTACCCAAGGACTACTAAAAGAAAAATTGTTACCTTTTTTAAATTTCCTGTTAAGTTCCCTTTCCATAATTTTCATGTTCTTGTGAGGAAAAGGCGTTAAACATGTTTAATTCATTTTATGACATTGCTTTCAACAAGCAAATGTTACATGTGTTAAGACTTGACTTGTGTACTAGTGTTGTAATTTTCCAAGTAAAGTGTCCCTAAAGGCCACTTTCTGATTTTTCCCAGTAAATGAGGCAAGCCATTCTAAGATCTTCCACAAACACCTAGCCATCTAAAATGGAGATTAATCCCTCTGCCTATACAAACAAGCTAGCTATTAGAGGGTGGTCGGGGGTATACTACTCTTAGGATATCACAGTCTTCAAACTGAAATCTCAAATGTTCTCAGTATGAAAAAAACCTGAGATCAGGTGCTTATGTAAGGAAAGTGCTATTCACCCAGTAAACCCAAAACAATGGATAGTACTGGCCATATTTTGCCTTTCTGACATTTCCTTGGGCATCTACAAGAACCTCCCCTTCCCCCCTTCCCCAATAAGACCATTTAAGTGTGTGTTAAGCAACTACAGAATACTAAATAAAAAGTTTGGCCAAAACCAACCATGAAGCTGCAAACGATGCTTGCTCTTACTGTTTCAAATTTTTGCAACTCTGTAGTGTCTCACTTTTAAGGAACAGCTTGATTGCAAAGGAGAAAATAGATAAGCAATGAAGTTATCTCCAACTTCTCAAAGGCTTATGACTTCTAAAAAGTGAATCTATCAGCATTCCACATCAGATTTAAAGCATCAAATGCCTGTGAAACCGCAAAGATGGTAAGCAAAGCAAACTAGTTTTTCCGTCTAAGTCGAAATTGAACACTTAAACCTTCCTCATAGTACAGTGAAACACTGTACCTCATGGCAGTGGAAATGCTTTCTAGATTAAGAAAAAATCTTTTGGAAAAGCAAAGTGTTCTATAGCGTATTAGAAGTCCTCCAAATTCAACACTTGGATTTTTTTTAAGCATGTATGACACTTAAAGGCCTTAATACAGCTGTTTACCAATAGCCATCCGGGGCTTGGGAGGGGGTAACTTTTTTTAAAGTCTTTTTGATGAAGACCTTTAAACATGCTTCATATATTAACATTTTTTTCAAATTAGTCTTTTAGTCAATGTAGGAAATGGCTTAAGTCTGGGGTCCCCATCTCCACCCCTGTAAGCCATTGCAAACTTAACATTTAGTTGGATGCCTGACTTGTTTTTAGTTCTATGAAACTACACTGGAGAAAATCTATTGCAAGTGGTCTTTAAAAAAGCAAAACCTGAGGCAGCATGACCCAGGTCCAGCCACGAAGTTGAAAAACATGCTCTTGAATATAGTAAACTTGAAGACCTCCAACTAAAACCCCTTATACTGCACTTAATCCTTCAAATAAGTTTTGTCCGTTCAACTTATGGATTTAACATGGCAGTGCACCATTGGAACAGAATGAGAATCCATAAGCCATGGAACTTAACCATTTAAGCCATTCCAGTCCATCCCAAGCCAGTGTGAATCTTCCACCACTTAAGAGACGTAGTAGAACATGAAATACGTTAAGCTGCAAGTCTGAACTTGCCTTTTCTTTCTGGAAAAGAGGGCAGTAAGTTATAGGCAAGTTTTGAAGAATTTCCTTGAGAGAGATAACTAGTTACCTATTTAATTTTTACAGGTTGAGGATTTTGGTCATTAAAAGTCATGGAGTGCTGATTTATTCACACTAGATAAAGCTGGCAGCAAGAGAAACCAAATGCTAAGGTAAGTTTCCAAAGCAGTGGCCTTTATAGGTTTAAATACTGTAGTCTTGCCACTTTGCATAACTGGGATATTGGCAAGTTACCTGTAAAAGGGGGATAATCTTAACTCGTGCATTATGAGGATCAAGTGAAGGGCTGCAATGTGTGACACCTGCTATATTAACTTTTAAACAGGTGTATTTCCATTGGCTCAGTCATGCAGTGCTCTTCGCCATATAGGAATGTGTCAAGTTTTCTAGCACTACCTCTTAAGCTGTTGTCGACTGGAGCTATATATACAATTCATGTTTTGACACTTAAGCAAACTTCCTTTGTATGAGGCTCAAACTTCTGTGCATTTTGTAAGAAATACCGTTTTTCTTATCAGTGCCGGTCCTTTGTTGGAGCCACAGTAGAAATCCACTAAAGGGGGAATAGATGTAGCTAAGTTCCTAGTTTGAGCATCAATTTTATTGGTATAATATACTTATGATAGTCTTGATTTTACCAAAGTGAGGCTTACAGGAATTGTAACGGGTATTTATGGTTACTTTTCAGACCTTGCAATTTAGAGCAAATACTTTGCTATTTAAAGCAACAAAATATATATTCAAACAATAGGTATTGAAAGAGTAATTTTCAGTTTAAAACAAGATCTTGTGACCTGATCACATGCTTTTCATTTTACAGAGTTGAAGCAGAAGAATGCTGATTGTGGATAAGACACAACAGTTGCATAAACAGTACTCGTCAGAATTGGTTTGGTGCAGGCAATAGGTTTTTGCCTTCAAGGGTTCCTGTGGGTCTGAGGAAGGCAATCAGTGTTGGTTAGCACTCTTAACTAAGGAGTGGTTGGTAGTTACTTAAGTAATTGACCAGATGGAGAAAGGGGAGTAATTAAAGAAATTGGTAAGTGGAGGTAGTCAGGAAGTTCTGGTTCTTTATGTAGATTTTATAGCTTTGGCTTTGATCTTGAGCTAAAGTTATAGGGACAGCTCTAGTTTAGAACTTCCTAGTTATGACTGTCAGAAAGTTGAATTGGAAAAATGAAAGGCATATGTGGTAACTCGTTCTACAGTCAAGTGTCTGATTTTCAGCAAGTAAAACACTTGATTGCTCTTTTTTCCAGAAGAGGGATTTTAGTCCTAAAAACTAAAGGGAGGAGTAGTAATAGCTGGAAACGAAGTAACTGGAAACATGGCTAAAATTATCTAAAGCACACTTTAAAAAGGAAAAAAAATTGGGCCACTTGGCTTTTTTTTTTTTTTGTAACAATTGTTTTGTAACCCTACTTTATCCCCACCTCCTGTCTTGGAAACAAATGAAGACACAATGTGGTACGTTAGAGACTAGATCCGGTAGTATAAAAAAAAGCTAGTGTTCTCAAAAGAAACAAGATTTTTGAGTTGGGATTTAGACGAGCTAACTCAATTTTTGAGAATTTTTGTGTGGTAAATATCAGTACTATCCTGTCCAACATTTGCCATTGTGGAAAATAATCCAAAAAAAATTCAACCCTCATTTAACAGGCTGTTTAGTCACAGACTGAGGGTATTGACCAAATTTAAATGGCTGTTCCACTTAACATAGATGTCTTCCTCAATCCTATAACCTACATTACTTGGGTTTATGCTTCTTTTGGCTCTTGAGATTTTTAGATATCTTGAAGATGGTATGGAACATTGAGATTAATCATAGTAAATATAAAGTCTAAATTCAAATTAAGTAGTACACTTAAATGACCAGACAGTTGTTTGGCAAATAGGTTACTGACCCAGTAGACTTAATTCTGCTCTTGTTGGAAAATTATTGGTCTTGATGCTTCTACTGGTTGTAAAAGAAATAATGATAGAATGTTTTTCTTGTTCAGTTGATTATAGAGAGCATAGGTATTACAGGTCGCTTTTCTCTTTTTGGAATGTTTTGTATTTGAAACTTAATAAAATTTAACATGCATTTTCTTGTGGCCCTGGGTGGTTTTTTACTTCTTTGCAATAAGGAATTGATTTAGACCTAAGTGTGACTTTTCACTTGTCCCCTTCCCCCATAACTGTAGTTCTCATGCATTGTTGGCACGGAAGCCAGTTACCAAGGAACATAGTCACCCAGGTGGTCTGTTGCTGTGTTTTAGGCCTCTTTCATTAGGGGAGTGAGCTCCAGGTAGGAATCAAGGTCATTCAGATAGTTTTATTCCTTACCCTGAAATTAAATGGGGGCAATAACACTAAAAGAGGAGAAGCTGAAATAGCAACGATGTGCTGTAATGCTTCTCCTGTTTTTTGCTTAATTCAGGAAAAACTGGTCAGTTAACTCAGTTCGGCAGTGAAGCACTTTGCACCAAGTCTTTCAGCATTACTGTCAAAGCAGCACATGACTAACGGGCTTCTGTGCTGGCAGCTTTGTTTCTTGGCTCTGTCTGTTGTGCTCTTCTACATACATCATACTCCTGATGTTTGTTTGCACTGTCATACCAAAAGAAGTTAGTGACAGTTGTCCTTGATTCAAGGGAAATCCATGAAATAGGGGACTACAGTGCCTCCCAAGCAGTGCAACACTGTTCCCAAGATGTATGGAGCATTATAGAAGGTGCAACCACAAGCATGATTGGCTGCAAGTCCAGTTATCTAGGGTAAGGTGAGCCGGCGGAAGCTGAGTTAGACAAGTGTGATTGGTGTGTTAAGGTTTCCTTAACAGGTGTTTCCTGTAAATGCAGGCTGACTTGGGCTTAGTTTTGTGACATGGGCCAGGCTAGTGGGGCAGCCTCCATTTTTGTGGAGATACCATTTATCAGTGCCTAAAACTATTGCGTTTGGGTTATACAGCCAGTAAAACAGAACTTGCCACATGGAAAAAGAATGATAGCTGAGGATTAGGATGGCAGAAAATGCCCCAAGTATTACTATTCTGTAAATAACCTAAGCATCGTAACAACTTGTTCCAGAAACTTCATCCTAGCCAATCAATAGCTCATCTCCCACCCCCAGAGAAGCAGTGTTGACCTGGTTTGTCATTGTAGGATATTTTTGCATATTAATACTTGATATAAATTAAAGCCTACGTGAAGGTACTTTTTGTGTCTAGCTGCTTTAGCATGTTTTTGAGATGTAGCCGTGTAGTTTATAGTTCCAGTGTTGCAGAGTAGAATTCCAATATAGAGTTTATGAATGGTGTATAGCTTATCTGTTCTAATGGACATCTGGGCTGTTTCCAGTTTGGGGCTATTATGAATAATGTTTTTGAATATTGTACTAGTCTTGGACATATTTTCATTTCTTTTGGATAAATATCTTGGAGTAGAATTGATGGGGTTAATAGGGTAGACGATATATAAGTGTAGTTGACATACAATATATTAGTTTTAGGTGTACAGTGGTTCAATTGTTATATACCTAACAGTGGGGTCACTCAGTCTAGTGTCCATCTGTCATCAGTATTGTCATAGTATAAATATTCCCCTTCACCTTTAACCCTCCCCGACAGCCATCAGTTTGATCCCTGTTTGAGTCTGATTCAACATGTGTTTGAAACCATAGGTTATTTGTCTTTATTTTAATTTGCATTTCTCTGCTAATGCTGAGCACCCTTGAAGAAAATTTGGGATGATTTTAAATTAGAGAAGTTGAAAAGGTAGCATAGAGTTCCTATATATCCTTTCACCCAGTTTGCCCTCATTTTAATCTTAACGTAACTATGGTACATTACTATTAACTAAACTCCAGACTTCATTGAATTCCACAAATTTTCCATTACTGTCCTCTTTCTGGTCCAGGATCCAATCTAGTATGTCATAGCATTTCATGTTGAGCAGTTTCTCATGTTCTTAGAGCCATCTTGCATATCTTGCACAAACTGCCTGTCTCTTGTCCTTTTCAAAAATTGGATCACCTTTTAAATATTAACACAAATCATTTATCTACTCGGAAGGCAAGTCCTTTGTCAGATACATGTGTTCTGTATTTTCTGTGTTGAATATTGTCTCCTAGTCTGTCTTGCCTATTTTTTCTTATTTTTCTCAAGCAATTAACCTGATTCATCAAACATTTTATGGTTATTTCCAGTGACCTGTTGAAACTTGACCTACTTTGAAGTTATGAAGATTTTTTTTCCTCTACAAGTCTGATCATTTTAACTTTAAGTTTATAATCCATTTTGAATTGATATATTTTTTATGGTGAGGTAGGAGTTGAAACTTTAAAATGAATATCCATTCTAGCATCTTTTGTTGAAAAGACTTCCATTGAATTACTTCCATATCTATAGGAACCATATTCCTAGGTCCATTACTGTTTTATTAATATCTATCTTTATTACTGTAGCTTTGTAGTAAGCTCTCTGAAGATACTTTTTTTTCAAGTTTTTCTTTTTACTATAGTGTTCCCTCCTCCACCCCGAAGTTATTGCTGTTTTTTGTTCTACTTCAAACTCCATCCCCCATGTTAGGCTTTCCTCAAATGAGTGGAAATTTTTGGTTTTGTGTTCATGATTATAAGAGGAGGGAATTCACATGTATGCTCTGAAGGCTTTTGATTCGAGCTTAACTACGGGTTCTTGGGGAACTCCCGATGCAAGAACTTTTAGGTTTTTTCCTTTTGGAAAGCCTTGTGAGATGGCTCAAGTAAAACCTTGGCCAAATTCCTCTGTTGAGGTTCTAGGTTGTGTTTATAAGATTTGATCAAGAAATACAGTGAATGCTGCTGCAAAGTGCCATCCCACAGAAAGTCTGGGACCTTCAATATGGAAAATGGCGCATCTCACCTTAGTAACAGTGTGAGAAGTTTCAACTTGTTCGGTGCAGTCAGCCAGGTGTGAGTTAAGGTTGAGAGAAGGTATATTTTAAAGTGTGCCATAAATCATCCTCCATCATGACAACTCTGCCACACATCGCTTCTGGTATATGGCAATTTCTGTCAAATAAAAACATTAGTGTGTCCTCATCCACCTTATTCACTGGCTCTGGCACCGTGGGACTTCTGGCTCTTCCCCAAAGTCAAAATGACTCAGGACATCAAGGAGGCCATGACAGTGCAACTAAAGACACAAAAGAGGATTTCCAGAACGGCTTCACAAAGTGGCAAAAACGGTGGGATAAGTGTGTTTGAAATGAGGGGGGGTAATTTGCAATGTGCCTTTTACTGTAATAATTGTTTTTATTTAAACGTTCACCGTATTGTTTGATGGCTCAAGATGTAGGGTTGGGGTTTCAATATACATATGTGGTGGGAGATGACGTGGCCTCTGGCTGCACGAGTAATGTGCCCCCTGCTCCAGTACTGCCTTAGTGTGTCCTACCTGCAGCTAGCTGAGCGCTGCTGTTCTGTCTTGCCATGGCAAGTGAGGTAGAGGGTGAATTTCCCAGAACAATGTTGGGGGGGAGGGGAATAAAAGGCGTGATTAGAAAATTTTCCCCTGCCCCAGACTCAGCCCTCCAATCTCCCTAGGTGTTAAGAGACTGAGGAGAAATTTTAGCTGTAGCATTACCAGCTGTGTGACTTGAGACAAGTTACTTAGCCTCTCTATACTTATCTGTAACATGAAAATAACATCTAATAGCATCAGCTAGGAAGATTAAATGAGTTACTAGTGCCTGGCACATGGTAAATGCTTCATAACTAGATTTCATTTGTCAATTTTCCTTTTGTGTGTCGGCTTCAGGGCTGGAATTGGGGGAGCGAGCCAGCACCTTATGTTAGATCATCTTGTCAAGTACTTAACGTTCCTACTGCAAGCCAAGCTTTTTCCTTTTTCTCCTGAGTCATTCCTCAATTTTTTTGTACATTGTGATTAGTCCACACGGCCTTACTCATTTTATCTTTACTTTTTATTCCCATTCCCCTCATCCCTCCCACCAGTGGTATCCTTTTGTTTCTGTTATTGAATGTATTGGGTTGTCTGAAAAGCCATGACGTATTCTTTTGTTTTTCGTTGGAAAAATGAGTCATGATTTTTCCAACGACCTAATATTTTGATGTTTTATGCATGTGTTTTTAATTACTTAAATGGTATGGTGTATTATATATGTCATTCCAACTTCTCATCACCATGTTTCGAAGATTTGCCCGTGTTGTGAAATACACGTGTAGTTCATTGCTATAGCACAGTGTTCAAACTTGCATCCCCCATCATTTGCCCATCTACTCCCAGTTTGATGGGTGTGAAACCTCTTAGTTGTAGTGCATTACCTGTCCACCTGGAGCATGCTGAGATTTGACCCTAATGAGAGCCGGTGGTGGTTGTGATGGATAGGACAGTAAGAAGAGTAGCCTTCTCTTGCAAGGAATCGGCCCCAGGCGAAGTTATCACAGGATTTTTAAGCAAAGGAAGGCTTATTTCTACAGCTACTACAGGGCAAGCTGCTTCAACTGGTAAGGGGTCTTCAGAAGGACTTAGGGGTTCAAGATTGTCAGTTTCATCTGGGTCCAAACATGTCTCCATTCCAAGTTTTAGGGTCCCACTCCTTGTCAGCATCCTTTTACATGAGAAACTTGAGACTGAATTCAACTGTCACTGTAATTCAGGAATATGTCTGCAACTTAGAGTTTTTTTAAGGGTTGTCAAGGAAGCTCTTTAATTCTCAGACACTTTTGATGAGCTGAGAGTTAATGGACTTGAGCTTGTAATTGTTTTCTTTGTGGGTACTCAAGTGAACTCAAGGGTCTACCCAGCACCAATCTTTATCATTACTGGTACAACGGGTAAGTGCAACAGCCACTTGGACTCCCTAAGTATGTGGTTCAGGTGGCACGTCTATTTTTGTGGGTCAGTCTTGAGTTGCTACTCTCCAAGGTCTAGGTCAGTTCAGTATTTGGGTCCAATCAGGAGAGAGAACCCATACAGTACTTTGAACACAGAAGGTTTGATATGATACAAGGAGTTTAAGATGGATAGGAATAATGAGGGGTTACTTAGAAGTAAGAGAGCTCTTAATATAAGGGGCCAAGATAGAGTACTCAAGGAAG